AGAAAATTATCAGCCTGATAGTGCAGAAAAAAAAGCTAAACACAGAAATGCAGTTTGTTAACTAGGTCATTTAATTGAATGATATAAAGTAAAATCTGTAACAAATCATCAAGGGGGATCACCTAATATTAAACAATACAGGATAAAACATGTGCATGTGTAAGGTACAAGTGTGATCCCCCTCAGATTGACTAGAAATTTATGCAGTGAAAATATCTGATCTAGATTACATGTACATATGCATAAAATATAACATAAATGAATTCATCCAAGGAGGCGTCCAAACAATTGCGCCAATCCAAGAAACGTATGACAAGTTATTAGAAAAATACAATTTTTGATAAGAATGCAAAATAATACAAAACATGGATGGTGGGGCTTTTCTTTTTTCACCGCACTACAGGCTAACAAAAATGGCGTTTCAAAAGCAACGTTTTTGATTGGTTTAAAAATCCGTAACTACCCGACGGGTTAATTAAAACCAGATTTCTCATAGCGGCATAATTGAATTATCCGTGATAAAAATTTTTTATAAGAAGACGAAAACATTTACTATGGCCTTCAACTCGACATTTAGATACCGGTACATGTATATTGTATCAATTGTCAATTAACAATAGTTAAGGCAATTGTAAAATAAACACCATTTCCTCATTATTATGCTCTAACTAAATGTGCTTGGAAAAATATAAGTGTTTTAAAAGCTGCATCAATTTTATAGTCGCGTTTTATGAAATTCCATGAGATTAAAGGAAAAGCACTATGATATAAATGAGTATGCCGACATTTTTCAAAGTATATAACTATGCTTTACAGTTTAATCTAGTCGATTTTTCATAATATGACAAAAATTTTGATTTTGGCTTTATGTTATAATTTGCAAGTTATTGTCGGAAAAGAAGGATTATGTAGTGAAGAAGGAAGGTATGTCATTATCGATATTTTTTAAAAATCTTATGATATACTAAATGAGTTTTGAAGAGCTTTTAAGTTTCTAAAATGTTAAAGCCCCCCCCCCCCCTAGAATAAATGAAAAAAACACTGTCTGATAAATAAAGTATACTCTGATATAATGAAAAAGGTGTAAATAACAATCAGTAATCGTTCTAAAACACATATAAGACACAAAGCCCTGGATATTCCAGATGTAGGATTACATGTAGATGGTTAGGTGGTAAGGAGAAAAAACATCCCCTGTTAATCGGTAAATACCGCTGTGGGCCTGTATTGACAAGGTAGACGGAACACGAGAAATGTATTCAAATTTAGTAAAAGCAAACGCCAAAAAATTGTTATGAATAAAGCAGACAAAAAACACGATCAATCATTAGGTTATAATTGTAAAAGATCATTATAGCGATCAGAGAACTTAGGAAATGACGACTTTAAGCGAGGCTACTGAAATCCCTTTAGCTTCACTTTGTTTTTCAGTAACCAACCTTGGTTTAAAAATGATCGTACTCGGAGCTTGCTGTTAAAAGACGATATGCAAATGATGCCGGGGAATTACTTCATTAATAAGAAAAATTGACGATGAAAAAGCTGAAGTCATCTTGTTTGCCATAATTATAGTAGTTGTTATTGCGCACTTATTGTGTATAGTCAGTTACACATCAAAATATGAACTGATATGGCAGACGTCAGGGTGCTAATCTGATTTTTTTTCATTTTAAATAATAAAAACTCCAGCATTAATGCAAAACAGAAAATTAGAAGAAAGTGGTTCCTTGAAATTTTGTTTTTTTAGAATCTAGAGATTTTTTTTATATTTCTATAAAGAACCTGTGAAAGGTCTTTTCATATGGTTTGTAACCGATATAATCCTTAATTCCTTTTAATTAAATTAAGTAATTCTAAATTTTGTATATGACTTTTCAAAAATATTTCTAAGTCATTCAGGTCCATCAAATAATATGTTATTCATCTATCCATTTATATTAACCATGCATATTTTGTCACAATTTCGATTTTCATATGTACAGAACCACTCGTCAAATATCAATTAGACATTCCATAAACATGCTTTCTTAACGAAATTCTAATTTGCTCAAAGAAAGAACAATGATATAAAGTCAGATAATTATGAAGTAAAAATAGTAAATAACCGATCATTCTCCAAATATCAAATGACAAAATAATGCTTTCATATATACTGAGTAATACGAATGGAAGTCATTTATTTTTGACTCATGACCAAGAGACCAGAACATTGATCATACAATAGTGGAACTTCAAAATGGCTGTTGAAAATTTGAAGTAATTTAAAATTGGTTTTAACATAAATTTGTTTAAAGTTTGTCAGTAACACCCAAAGCCCACGTAATATAATATAAATCACAAGTAGCAGATCTGTTGTTTCTTCATATCGATTCATTGGAGTACATTGAGTTAAACTAGTCACAATAGATACACAGTAGTTTTTGTCAAAATCTTTTCTGAGAAAATTAACCATGATTTCTAATTACTTTACATAATTAAACTGGCATATTAGTCGAATTTTCTTTTTACAGTTCAAAAAAGTGTTGCCCAGATTATAAATGGAATGGAGTAGAATGCACTCGTAAGTAATGTTTCGATAACATGTAATCAATCTTTCTTAAGAAAAGACACCATTGATATAATATTATTATTAATTTGTTACTATATAGGAAATGATAGTCAGCATATAAATTGTTAGAATAAAAAACAAAATAGGTAACGATATTGAACAGTGATCAGTCTAAAAAAAAAAATTACGATACAAATCTGTGAAGAAAGGGTAATTTAACACACGGACCTTGAAAATTTCAGATGGGATCAGATGCGTAGAAGGAAAAAACATACCCTGTCAACCGTTCACGGAATAATCCCTAGTAAAAGAATAGAAACAATCTGATACTGTATCTTCAATAATAAGTGAAGCTATATGACTCTTTTAATGGATATTTGTTTTGTTTTGAGACTACGGATTACTCCGTGCTAAATACACAAGGCTCATGGCGGAGTGACCGGTGCGTTAGAGCTAAAAAATCACTTCCAAATGTTTTTGGTCAAATAAATTTAAATTTAAAAACTATGACGGATTTTTGACAAAAAGAAGTTTATGTTCCGTCTCTGGTTGGTTTTGTTTGAATTCATTTTCCAAAGGTCTCCATTACTAAATTTATTTTCTGACAAATTTTGAATAATTTTCAGGAATAATATACTGAGGAAGTTATCTCTCTTATCAGAGGGTCGGTCCCCTTTGACATTCTTCATGGAAATTAACTACCTCTTGAATAAAACATCCTGAAAAATAGCATATGTTAAACCAATGATCTAAAACAACTTTTTGAAGACCGATTTCCAAGTGAAAGAGTATTATTACACATTTATAATGCCTGAGTCCATCGAACTTTTATTAGGAACATAACAGATAAAATTTAAAAACAAGAGGTCCATGGGCCACATCTCTCACCTGAGAATCTTTGACTATTCTGTTTTTTACCAGATTTCCCCCTTGTAATACATATTGTGATCCCACCCTACCCCAATGATCATAATTTAAACAATTTGAAATCTACACTACCCCAGGATGATTCCACATAAGTTTCAGTTTTTCTGGCCCAGTGGTTCTTGAGAATAAGATTTTTAAAGATTTTCAAAGATTTTTCCTATATATTTCTATATAAAACTTTGATTCCCCATTGTGACCCGCCCTACCCCCAGGGGTCATGATTTGAACAATTTAGAATCTACACTACCCCAGGGTGCTTCCACATAAGTTTCAGCTTTTCTGGTCCAGTGGTACTTGAGAAGAAGATTTTCAAAGATATTTCCTATATATTTCTATATAAAACTTTGATTCCCCATTGTGGCCCCACCCTACCCCCAGGGGTCATGATTTGAATAGTTTAGAATCTACACTACCCCAGGATGCTTCTCCATAAGTTTCAGCTTTTCTGGCCCAGTGGTTCTTGAGAAGAAGATTTTCAAAGATTTTTCCTATATATTACTATATAAAACTTTGATTTTCCCATTGTGGCCCCACCCTACCTCCGGGGGTCATGATTTGAACAATTTAGAATCTACACTACCCCAAAATGCTTCCACATAAGTTTCAGCTTTTCTGGTCCAGTGGTCCATGAGAAGAAGATTTTCAAAGATTTTTCCTATATAATTCTATGTAAAACTTTGATTCCCAATTGTGGCCCCGCCCTACCCCCGAGGGTCATGATTTGAACAATTTAGAATCTACACTACCCCAGGGTGCTTCCACATAAGTTTCAGCTTTTCTGGCCCAGTGGTTCTTGAGAAAAAGATTTTTAAAGATTTTTCCTATATATTTCAATGTAAAACATTGATTCCCCATTGTGGCCCCGCCCTACCCCCGGGGTCATGGTTTGAACAATTTAGAATCTACACTACCTCAGGATGCTTCCACATAAGTTTCAGCTCTTCTGGCCCAGTGGTTCTCGAGAAGAAGATTTTCAAAGATTTTTCCTATATATTTCTATGTAAAACATTGATTCCCCATTGTGGCCCCGCCCTACCCCCAGGGTCATGGTTTGAACAATTTAGAATCTACACTACCCCAGGATGCTTCCACATAAGGTTCAGCTTTTCTGGCCCAGTGGTTCTCGAGAAGAAGATTTTCTAAGATTTTTCCTATATATTTCTATGTAAAACTTTGATTCCCCATTGTGGCCCCGCCCAACCCCCAGGGGTCATGATTTGAACAATTTAGAATCTACACTACCCCAGGGTATGTTTCCACATAAGTTTCAGCTTTATTGGCCCAGTGGTTCTTGAGAAGAAGATTTTTTAATGACCCCATCCTATTTTTGTCTTTTCTTGATTATCTCCCCTTGTGAGGGGACTTGGCCTTCCATTTTAGCATAAAAGTCATCATAAATATATCCTTGTGATGGAAATATTTAAAAAATTCGCCTTTTTTGCACTACGATACAAATGTATGTGGTAAAATCAAATTATTTTTCAGGATGTTTTGGACACTTTGGTCCACACTGCACTAGGCCATGTAAAACCGGCTTCTGTGGATTTGGTTGTCGAGATCATTGTTTGTGTGATCAATGTGATCCATTCAACTGTTCCTGCCTAAACGCTACTGGTAAAAAATAACATTTCTTCTACACATTTTATCATTCAAAAATTTCTACATAAGAAGAAAAAACACTAGCTGTTGTCTCTAACTTCACATTTAGATATATTGACGACGTATTATCAATCAATAAAAATAACTTACATTCATGGTGACTCGATATAGCCCAGTGATCTTGAAATAAAAGTAACATAGATTCTGACACATCTGTTTCATAATTAGATATGATACCAAAAAAAAAAGACGTTTATGGTCACTTAAAAAGAAAGCTTTATGATTAAATGACTTCAACTTTTCAAATGGCAATTTCCCTTACTAATGTAGCTGTTTATCCTCATCACCTACACATGGGGTAATTGTTCCTCATTTGATTCAAAAGAGCATGCTCAATGAACAATTTCTAAAACGAGGAAAGTTATTGAAAAAAAAAATATCATACTCGTCAGTCGTGACAGTCAGATTGAAATATTTTTTGACGATTGATTTTTTAAGATGATTCATATGAGTGGTTAATATTTGATTCGACTACAATACAAAGCTAAAACACATACATTTTTATTTTATTATAAAATTAGGAAAAACATAAAAAAAAACCCCGAACAAATAAGTAAATAAAAGAAACAAAATAAAATTATTTATTTTTAAATATAAAAAATTGTAATAATTTTTTTTTTATGAAACATGTGTTGGTGATAACGAACAGTATTTCAGATCAAAAGTCCATTAAACAATACAAAATAGGAGCACAGTGAGCAAACTCGGACCTCCAAAACATCAGAGGTGGGATCAGGTGCCATGGAGGAGTGAACATCCCCTGCTGACTGGTCAAACCCGCCGTGTGCTCCTTGTCATGATCGGGAAATAACGAAAAAAATCCGTCGTCAATTCAGTGTATAAATAATGGACTAACAATTGAAATGAAAAACGTCAGTCAGCATTTGATTCAATGATAAATTGTATTTGCTGACAAAGTCATTGTATCGACTATAGAACTTACGAAATGATGACTTTAAACGAGAAATTCTTGTTTCATCAATTTATTTGTCAATGATTTACCTGGTTGTAGAAATTGTTCATTTGTTATTTTATTATTGTCATTAATGCAAAGGCCTGAATACAAACTAGAATACATGGTTAGAGATAAATCTTTAAATAAAAGACATCTGCATTACTTGTATATCAAATTCATTTGAATGGTTGAAATATAAAACAATAAGTATTGTATTCACTATCTTGGGTATATTTTTTTCTATAGAATAATTAGTATATAAAGAAAGACTTTGATTTCAGCAATAATATTTCATTGTAATCATTTTGTTCCTTTATAGAAACATCTATGGAAAATCATTTTACCGAATCTATGATTGTCACAACAGTTGTTGTAATCGGATTTTGTCTCATTACTACAACTATGTTGGCGGGTTACCTTTTACGGTATTTCTATTCTTTTTTTATGAATTTTCATAATTCTATACAATATACATTTATTGACTTAGTTCAAGGGCAACATGCATTTTGTCGGACACAGGAACTAAACTGTCTAAAAAACAGTTTGGTTCGAGGGTCTGACAAACGCATTTTGCCCGAGAACATATGGTCCATAAATGTTTTGTTATACCTTTAATTTTTATTTTTTGACATACATGTATTTTGTACTGTCTTCCGTGATGTAACCTCAGGTCCGTCACTTCAAACACCATCGAATGTAAATGAGATGAAGCTCTGCCCATTCTGTGACGTAAGTGGTCCAACATCTCATCGATCGGTCCAACATCTCACTCAGCGGTCCAACATAGATTTTTTTTTATGTCGGCTCAGCAAAACATTAGAAATGTTAGACTTTTTTCGTATAGATTTGTGTAGGAACAAATTTTGAAAGGTATAACAATATTTGTTTTTTATGCAATCATCTTGCATCTCATAATTTGCATATATTGACTATTTTGCAGATGTTTAAAAAGAAGGGGCAAAAAGAAAGGTATGTTATATCATTTTGAACCACTAACTGAAATAAAAAATGTAACTAGAGTATCGTCCTACCTTAACAAAGAGCAAGGTTGTTGGTTGGATTTGGTTTCTCCGGTCCCAAAACAGAACATAATTTTTTTCAATAGCCGTAATTTAATAATGGATAAGTAAGATACAAAGGGAATCTAATTATTTGAGGAAGAAATCGTCAATGTCTTTAGTAAATTCACATTTGTTGTTTTTAATGATTAATTAAACGTAATTAAACAGATACGTATGAACTACAGAAATTTGCGCTGCATTTCATCTCCGGAAATATGCATAGCATTTCCGACATTTTTTATTTTATTTCCGACATTTTTGGTTTTCATTTCAGACATAATTTTCTTTTCAATTCCGGAATTTACCTGTGCGGCAATCCAACGTTTTCTAAGTAAACGAAAATGGAATTTTAAAAGTATTTATACCAAAATATCAATAAAGAAAAAAAAGTCTACACATATATGCATACATGTAGCACTAAGTCTAGGTAAAAGTGTTCAATGAGCATAAAACTTTTTCACCACATTTGATGTGGACTAAATTCAATTTCAGCGACAGCACCATACTTATGTCCAAGTCACTGATAGATTTACAAAATTGGATTTCAATGATTTATTTACGATTTAATCCTTTAAATTTTTCATAAGTAAATTTATCAAATCTGTTAATATAGGTACTACATACCGGGTATGTATTTGAAAAATGTCGGAAATGAAAACAAAAAAATGTCGGAAATGAAAACTAAAAAATGTCGGAAATGAAAAGTTGATAATCACCAAAAATTCCGGAAATGAAATGCAGCCGAAATTTGATAAATGAAATGGATCTTATTTATCACCTATTCAGATAAAGACCATCATCAGGAATCAAATGCATTGGAACCTGAAATTTCATTGCGTGATTTTGAAGGAGCCACAGACAACCAAAGCCAAACAAATAAACAGAGGACAGATCTGGGTATAAACGCACAGAAAAACACTTCCGGCCAGAGGCTTACGTCGATGATGTATACAACTGATGACCCTTTGTTTGAATACGAATTGAGTAAAAACATCGAATATTAAGTGTAAATCTTATTATTCCTTTGAATTACCGAATAAAGCATTGTGATCGGTTAAATTCAAATATATATTTTGGTTTCAATTAACACGTGGATAATTTGTGATGTTTATAAGATATTAAGAAATTAAGACGGCAGATATGTAGATATGTTTATTGGTGCTATATGACCGTTAAAACATTGAATAATTAGGCAGATAATAATAAAATATACAAATATTCTCGGTATTTTCATGTTTAATTGCAGATCTTTTTTAGCATACCCTTTTTATTTTCACAAGAAGCAGGAGCAATTTAAAATCTTACACATGACAAGAAAAACACTTTCTATGACCTTTGAATTCAATTCGCCATTTTGATATACATACATGTACGATGTACAATCAACTAACAAAAGTAATTTCCATTCACATATCGACTCGATAAACCCCAGTGAAATTGAAAGAAAAGATACCACAGAGTTTGATTACGTCTGCTTCGTATCTTGATATTTAACTAGAAAATGACATAAAAGTCAATCTAACAACAATAGGGTTATTTTGTGCGTCGACTATCCGTCATTTTGGTCAGAAAGTAGTCAGTCACATAGTGGAGTTTTGCGAGAAGCACTGGCCCTTACAGTTGACGGTTTACTTTGACATTTAAACCTGTGTCATGTACAGAGGTACAGGTTTGATAATTGATAGGAAAACCTTTCTAGTGGTAATAGGTATGGTGTTTAGGGCACTAGTATGTGATGGGCCGTATCTGATGGCAGGGTGGTTGTCGGGTTCTTCATGGGCAAGTTATATATCATTAGCTTATCATATATATAATGATAAGCTAAATAATTTTCTTGCAAAAGAGTTTCCGTGTACAGTCCAAGTGCAAAAATAAGCCGTCGACGGTAAAAGTTGACACTCCTTGCAAAAGTTCATTGGTCCTATGATAATAAGGTTTTCAAACGGATATGGCCAACGGTCTCTTTATAACACACTATAATCATTCGAATTAATTCAGTACAAGGGACAGGGTTGTTGGTTGGAATTTGCTTTCTCCGAACTATACGCCCTGTCAAAATACAACATTGGAAAACATGGACCTCCAAAACATCAGAGGTGGGATCAGGTCCACTGCCAACAGGTCACATTCGCCGTATGCTCCTTGTCATGATCGGAAAATAACGGAAAAATCCGTTGTCAATTTAGTGTGTAAATAATGGACAAACAATTAGTATGAAAAATTGTCAGTCAGCATTTGACTCAATAATAAAATGTATTTGCTGACAGGGTCATTGTATCGATCACAGAGCTTATTAAATGATGACTTTAAAGGAGACTGTTGATATTCTTTTTTCATCAACTTGTTTGTCTATAATTAATCTAATATGGAGGAAAAAATCTTTTTACGAATCGTTTTCAGCCTCAGTTTTAATTTATCTAAAATTGATCGTTATGTTATTTTGTAAAACACTGTACACGACAAGTTAATTACCACATCTTTTAAACTGACTTAAGAATGGTGTTTTTTTTTTATAGAAACATAAAAATAAACACTCAATACAACATTCTTTTGATGATTAGAGAATGGTTACATAGTGCGCGTATATAAAAATAAATGTATTTAGAGTAATACAGATACGTCTACTTATGTAGGAATTCAAAATAAATAGTCACTTTACACAGTTATATTCTCATAAAAATATATCACAGAGGTTGTTAAAAAAAGATTCTGGGAAATATGGGGAAGTGATAACCAGTTTAAAAATTTCCGCATTTGAAAATGGACGAGCGAACTATTCAATGTTCTTATCCAGAATGGTGTTCTAGATGTGGAGTTTTGAATGTTACTGATATTGAAGGATTAAAAATAAATTCCTCTAAGTGTCTGAAGTTTTACGAATTAGAATACCCCCTCGAAATCAATCACCCTCTAGGGACTCTGAAAGAGGGGAAAAGATGCTGCGATGGAACATTGACGATTTACTATACCTCGAATTCATCAGGTATAGACAAATGATTTTTTTTCTCTTCATGAAAATTATGAAACAGAAAATTTAAATAATTATTGTTTATTATCAATATCATTATTTTATGTTTTATGGATCATTCGCGAAATTAATAATTAAAGAATATCTAAGAATTTCTTATCTGTGCTTTCAGATTCATATGTAAATAAAATAAGAGTGAAACCGAAACTAATTTTCTTTTCATGAAAAAATGCATGTTTTCTTCTTCTTCAGAGACGCTACATGCCGGAGGGTTACACATACCCCTGAATACTACCGAACAATTCATAACCAACGCAACAGAGCAAACCTCGACTGAGCTGGCTAAGCGAGAAATTCCCCCCTCCGTTATAAACGTTTACCATCCCTATTTCCCCCTGATCCTCTCTGCCGCAGTAGGGGGCTTACTTGCGTTGCTGGTCTTTGTCATTTTTCTATCAGCGAGAATGAGATCACAAAAACTTAAACCAGGGTATGTTTTTTTATTCATGAAATAAATCTGAAATAAGAATATATCATTTAAAGCAAATTTTAAAAAAATCGCTGTTTATGTTTGTTTATATATTTTTTTACTTATTATAAAAGAAAAGCCAAATGTAATTTGTACAACTTCTTTTATTTCACAGATTCAGCGTGTCAAAAAGTGTCCAACTTGATGTAATTCTCAACGATTACAATCCACTTGCAACACATCACGAAGATACAGAGCGAAAAACCATTCAGTCCTGGAGGAAGTCTCCTATTACCTTGAGAGGATTCAATGATCAGATCCAAAGGGCACCTATCACAAATACTTTGAATCAGGAAAATACACTACATCGTCAAAATAGATCAACACCTCCGGTACAGGAATGTAACATCAATATTCTATCATCTGACCAACCAGTCACAGAAGAGGAATCAATTTACGTGAATGAATTGGAAGGTATTTACGTGAATACCGATGAAAAAGTGTCCTTGAATGATGATGATGATGATGATGATGATGTTACCGGACTATCAGGCAAGGATGGAGTCCTTAATGGAATCGATATTCAAGTTCACATTTTCCGCTTGTAATGGACTTCACAAAACAGCAATCAACAGTGCTCAAGTACAAACTGTATCAAACCTCATTTCACACCTCAGATGAAAACATTTTTTTTTATTTTATCTCAGTACATGCACTCATAAATGTAAAATTTGACTGAATAAAATATTATTTGTAAAATAAGTTTTTTTTTGTGATTCTTTGAAACACCGCCATATTTAGCTCATCAGCTGACATGTAAGCTTTACTGATCACCAATCCATGATGTGTGCCTGTCTTTCTGGTTGCATCTCCCCAAGTCCTCTGGAACTTTTGAGGTAGAAAAAAGGAAATTTATAAACTTCATGACATAGTGCTGATTCTAATTTATTCAACACATAAGGCATAGGCCCTTTTGGTAGGTTGAACAGTGAATCAAAGATTTACTGAGAATGTATAGAAAACAGGAGACACACGGGCCACATCGTTGCTCCTTGGGTAGGGAGGAAATCGAAGCTATTTATGGATATACACGTTTGTAAGAAAAACCTTTTTAGCTCACCTAAGCTGAAGGTTCGAGTGAGCTTTTCTGATCACCTTTTGTCCGTCTGTCTGTCTAGCTGTCCGTCTGTCTAAACTTTTCACATTTTCGACTTCTTCTTAAGCACAAAGCATCCTTGGATGAAGGGGATTCAAGTTTGTTCAAATAAAGGGCCACACCCTCATTCAAGGGAGATAATTGGGAATTAATGAGAATTTGGTGGCATGTTATAAAAATCTCTAAGATTAAATTTCATTCAGTGGTATATGAAGAGTTGCGGATAACAGATGGGTACCCCATAGCGGAACAGACTTCACAGTATATATTTCCCAAATATGTGAAGAGGGCATAACATTCTGTTCAGGATTTTCTTTTTAATTTGATTTGTTTTTGAATTCAGTGTTATTATACCCCCGCTTGAAAAGTTGGAGGGTATATAGTGATATCGGGATGTCCGTTCGTCCATCTATCCATTCGCCCGTCTGTCTGTTATGCCTTGGGGTACCCATCTCTTATCTACAACTCCTTACATACCTGCACAGAATAAAATTTAATGATACTTTCACAGATTATTTCATTAATGTCATTGTGCGTCTGCATTTTTTGCTGTTTGGTCCGACACTTATCTCGGGTCTCCTAGAGGCGGGGGCATCATTTGGTGAGCTCATTGATCACAGTACTTCTTGTTTGAAATTGCCTCATTTAAAAATGCACGTAAAATATGCTCTTGTTTATCGAGGTCTATGATAAAAACAAATACCAGGTTACGTAAACTCCATGTACAGATGATGATTGTAGCTTTTAGTCGAATTGTTGCGCAATACTCCTGACATTTCTCCACTTCTGTATACAAATAACGAATTCTACGCTTGGTAAAACATTTACAGGAACCCATCTTTGTAACTTTATAAGGATTTTTAGAAGTTTTGGAATCCATTATAGATGTGGTAATGCAAATTCATTTGGATTGTAGGAAATATTCAAAATACATATACTGAAACGCAAAAGAAACACAACAATTAAGCAGTATTCTACACATTTTTGTATTTTTTTTAACTAGTGATTACCAAAAAGAAAAAGAGTGTTTCAGTTCGTTTATTATTTTACCCTAAAGTTGTAGCAGTTTAAAAGAAAAAAATAGTAACAGAAAATGAAATTAATTTGTCATGTTCAGTACAATATTTTGGAAACTGCAGATTGACTTCCAATTTCGCAAAAAACTAGAGGTACTGTGAGCAATGAGCTCATTAAATGATACCCCCGCCTCCCATATGATAATAATGGCAAGTTCGTGTTTTGCTGTGGCCGGGAAATCCAAAACATACATGTGTCTGATCAAAAGGAAAAATAGGAGGTACACAATGGAAATATGTAATAACGGACGGACATACCGATTGCAGTATACCCTCCCACTTTTCAAGCGGGGGGTATAATGAAGTGTATAAATTAGTCACAGAGAAAAGTAAGTCAATTAGATTTTTTTGTGCTTTAAAAAAGGTATACCCATTATTCGGAAAAATCGCCTCCTTGAAACAGAATAAATTTGATATTCGCTTCCGATTTTTGTTTTAAAGAGGCACATCTGAGAGAGGGGAAGAATGTCAAAACGTTAATGTTTTAAAATGCATGTATTGAAAAATTAAATTGTTTTCGTTAATATTGTAATCAAAAATTCAGAAGACATACATTAATTGTAACGCTAATATATCTTGTGGTGATGTCTTAGAAAATATAAGCATCATTTTAAATTAAATTTTTTTTTTCTTATTTCGTTTTTGTTTTGGTTCTGTTAATTAGTGGCTCATATTTGGCTTGAAATATAGGTAAATTAAAATGACTCGATGGACATCCTTTGATATTGTTTCAACAGTCTGATTATGGGACACCTTCTTTTACATACCGCACGCTGTCTTTAGAGCATCTTTCAAAATGCCTCTCAAGCCACGTTCCGGAGTCCACTCATAGATCTCTCCTACCCGACCAGAATGGGCGCGGATCAGACATTTTGGAATGGCCACGGTTGTGCTGTGCGAAGTGCACTGGCAACTGTGCTCTTTATTCTTCTTGCTTTCTTGTGCAGACGATCGAGGTCGACAGTCGGTTTTTAGGTTAAGCAAAACTACGCAAGAAAAAAAAACGTAAAATGTGAAAAATCATACCCACCCTATAAAAAAAGTCATCTACGTAGCTGTATCTATATTTCGACATGTCTAAGTGCGTCGATTTAGGGAATAATCGTCAGTCTTTATAGTTAAGTTAAAATCAATTTAAAAACACTTTAAAAAGTAAAACATGACTGTTAAAACACACACACCCTTCTCCGACGTGCAATTACAGTGCGCAAGACTGCCATGCACAACAATGCAGCTTGACTTCTACGATGCAATAGGTTCATCAAACTCGAGATCTGGGCAAAAGAAATATTCTTTGTCATTTTCTAATTATGTCCCTTTTCCAGATTTCTAGATCTCTTACCACGCGCAGTTAAGTAAAAATTGGACTTCCGGTCCACGGACTATCACTCCAGCTAATGATACGTACGAGGGTTGATCCGTAATGTCACAACTTTGATAAAATTGCTATAGCTTTTTAAAACAACAAAATTATACATGATGAAATTTTTCTTTATTTCAAATCAAGCCTGAAAAAATCAAAGGAATATGATGTATACTTTCCAAAATATCGCATTTTAAACAATGTGGGTTTATGGTAGTCGCCGCACCTAAATATAACGTCATATGACGGATATGCGCCGTCACACTTTTAAGCGTTTCCCTTTCATTTCATTAACAAATTTTTGTGATTCGCAAGCACTTTCACCAATTTCACTTTCTTTGAGAATTCTTGGTACCATTATACACTCATTCTTTTCATAATTAAGCCCCCTCTCATTTTTTTTAACAGTAACTTAAGGAAACCTTAGAAATTCTCCTGTCACTCTATCCGTCTGTGTATTTTGACAACGTCAGACACCGTTAAACGTTTCTGTCCGATCTCCTATCTTTTTGTCCTCTGCTGATCATTCAGTGACCCATCATCCGCCCAAACTTGCTGATACCATTTATAAAGAAGTCTCTTATTTACATTATTTATTCTGTGAGTCTAATTAATTAAAGAAACTGTCGCTAACTGGTGATGATTCCCGTATTTTGAAGCGAAATTGCATTACAACTCGTCGAGCCGTTTTTCCCCACTTCGACAATCCCTTTGTTCGCTTCAGAGAGTAAAACAACAGTGTTTATGATCACAAATACCAATGTCTTCATTTAATTTTCAATTAAAGACTAGAAAATGACTTGAATTATGTCTTTATAAAAAAATGAGAGATTTGGTGCTTTTTTAGAATTGTTTAAATGTGTTTGTATTTTTCATTCTAAGGAAAAATACACTTTAAAATGTGACGTTCAGTTGTGATGCGGCGACACCCCCTATGCCATATGTTTTAAACATCTATAAAATAAATTTGGATAAACATTATTAAATGAAAAATGCAATATCTATTAGATTTATATTTGTGCATCTTTTGGTATATTGTATTTGATAATATGACACCAAATGTAAAAGATATGGACATTGTGACATTACTTTTGGATCAACCCTCGTATTTAGTGCGTTAAGGCATGTTGTGATGCATTTTTGCATCTGCAACTATTGATCACCTTTATTTTCAGATTCAATGGAAATGCGCATTCGGGTGTGGAAATGCGTACTAAAGTCATTTTTAGGAAGTCTTGGAATCTGTTCAGGAAACGAAAGGAGAATTTATTTTGCGGAACATTGCTGCAATACTTATGATGATGAACAGATTCAAACTTTTAAAACCCAATATTTTGTCAAATGCTCTGATAAACATGCATTTTTTTATTTCTGTTTAGCGGGCTCAAACTTAACTTCCAATGATTGCGTGAAAACGATTTATGGAACGCCTCAGCTGCCCATATATGTAGAAAACATTTATTATATACATGTATGCTGATACTTTAACTTCTATACTTTCACCATGTATTCCCGCTTTAAAGATCGGAATAACTTTGAATATCAATGGATTCGTGAATTGCAGTGACCCCTCTTTCAAAATACAGCCTCGTTCTTTATTTTTACTGACTTTTAATTCCTGTTTCACAAAGTTGCGATTTAGACCTAGAAGGACTGCTTTATTAATCTCATGGGTCTTCTTTCTATACTTTATTTTTGCGCAATATACCGGGAGCCATGTTTTGTACAGTAAGTACAATCATTCTTAATAAACTTGTATAAAACTTTTAAACTAATGCAAAAGGAAAGACTTGAATGTATGTCGTGCATTAGTCCTAATAAATTCATCAATATGTGGGACTCGCAAAAATCATCTTAAAAGTTAAAAATAGAAATGCTCGATCTCTCGTCAAAGACACGTGACAGCAGAGGTGACAAAGGCCCCATTTAGAAACAAAAAAAAAACTTATTCATGCAAAAAACTTTACTTACAAGAATATTCTTAAATTCTTAAATAACAATCTGAACATACCGGTATTAACTTAGATTTTTTTATGATAGATAAAAAACCCCGATGAAGTGAATTAAACAAAATGTCAAACTTAGATTGAACAAACAAATAATGATTAAATAAATTACAAAAGAATTAAAAATTCAAAGATGACAGTTGTCCTATTGGCGAGACCTCCTTTGGAATTCTTCTTCCGGTCCTCCTGAAAAGAAAAAAATACAAACCATGCTCATATAAGAAGTATTTGATTGAAAAGATGATAAAGAGGAATTGATAAAATTCAATTTTTAGGTCATTTGAACATCAGGTGTTCACTGATACGTGGTCACGTGATCTTACAATGACATTTATAATTATAATGAATACCAAGTCTCAAATCATATCGACAGAGATCGTAGAATCAACAAACCTTAATGAAAGATGCATAATTGACATTATAAGCAAATTGAAAGTGGGGGGGGGGGGGTAAGTGCAAGAATTTTTTTTAGACCTTCAAAGTACCTGACAAGGGGGGGGGGAGGGGGTCGGTTGTGGTTGTTGGACTTCTTTCAGTACCAATTTTTTTCCCAAACACTTCCAAACATTTTTGTAACGTGTCTGTGGAAAGTGGGGGGGGGCTTAACCTACACCGCAATGTTTAAAGCCTATACTAAGTCTATGTTTGGAAAAAAAAGTGGGGGGGAGGGCTAAGCCCCCTTCCCCCCGGTTCCGACGCCTATGCCAATCAACATACTAATTATACTGAAATTATTCAATCAAATGAGCAAAACAGATAGTATACTGGTATAATCATTTTGAAAAATTTAAACCAGAGCTGAATACAAACTAGATTTTGTTATCTTGTTCAAGTCACCTTACTTCTTACACCCTGTACAATGTTTATTAAGTTGGGAATGACCTAAATGTAATCTCCTAAATATATAAAATATCTCCTATATAAATAAAACTTCACTACAAAATCATTTGTTCAATTCAAACAATATATATTAAGTGCATAAGCTTACATAAATATAATCTTTAAACAAGAGACCCATGGGCCACATCGCTCACCTGAGCATATTGGCTAGAAAAAGGCACAAATCAGTTAAGTGGGGCTTGCACTTTAAACTATTTGAGAATACTTCCATATCAATAGCAATGGCTTTACTGTTCTTGAACAGATTTTCCCCTAAATATTCCTTTGTAAAGATTTCATCCACAATACCCCTCCCTACCCCTGGAATGATTTAAACAAATGTGAATCTACACAATCTAATGATGCCCCCCTCCTTCCCCCAGGTCATGATTTAAACAATCTTGATTCTAAACTACCTGAGAAAACTTCCATTTAAATATGACTAATCATGGCTTTGTTGTTCTCCAAAAGAAGATTTTCCAAGATTTTCCTATATATTCTTATGTAAAACTTTGATTTTTTGTTGTGGCCCCACCCTATTCCCGGGAGTCATGATTTGAACAAACTTGATTCTACACTACCTGAGAACAGGGTATTATTTAATCTCAGACCACTGATTTGGCTCAGACTTTCAAAAATTGGCAAATTTCAGTGTAGAAGATTTAACTAGAAGTTAGAAAAACAAATATCAATGATTTTTTTGTGTAGAACTATGTAGTAAGAATGTTACAACTTGAAATTAATGTTCACCCTTTTTCTTTGTAGAAACTGATTTTCCTAGGTATGAACAATTATGTGCATGTTTTAATTTAATATTGTTGTTTTTTATTTGTAATAATGTTTTCCTAAAATATTATGTTCTTATTTGGTGCTGTTTTTATGTTTTTGGAAATGGGATTAGGACTTTGAAGTTTTGTGTTCTGTGTTCTAAGAGGGTTAGTTGTGCGGCGCACAGACTAACCCATTTGCGCATGCGTCGAATTGCTCCCTATTCTAGGCCCTTCATTTCTGCATATTAACCGTTTTTTCAAGCCAGAGAGTATAATATAGTCCCATTAATGATAAAGAAATCCCCGGCACAATATAACTAAACAAGAGACCCATGGGCCTTATAGGTCACCTGAGCATCATGCAACAACTTTCCAACGATTGAATTTGGTTCAGGTTTTAAACTAGACTTCATGGCATTCACAATTTTGAAAGAGGCACCATTTCTAATCATAACTACACACTTGCATGTTTAGTTTGGTTACTTTTAAAATACCCATAGACAGAGTAGCAGAACAAAAAAATGCATTTCAACTAATCAGTAATATTTAGCAATAATCAGTAGTGCCACTACCACACATGAACCCCTGACCCTTGTTCCACACTTTTAACAATTTTGGAAAAGAGTATCCTTGCTGATCAAAAATGTTTGATTAATACCAAGGAGCAGATTTCAAACAATTAATTCATTTTTAGTATATAAGTAGAGCCCCCTCTATGGTACCCCTAACCCGGGGGCCTTGAAATTTAAAATTCAGGAAGAATGGTCCTTGCTCATCATAACTATATATATTAGGTAGTTTACCTGCTAAATACCCAGGAGCAATGGAGAAATTTTCAAAGACTTAATGTATTTTTGACTATATAATCAATAGAGCCCCACCCTAAGACTGGGGGCCATAAAACTTAGACGAGCTCACTTTTGATCTCAGTCTCACTTTTACCAAAGGAATACATAGTGGAAAAGTGAGACTGAGATCAAAATTGAGCTTGTCTAGGTTTTATGGCCCCCAGGCCAGAACCCCTGATCCTGGGGCCATAAAATTCATAATTTTGGAAGAGGCATTCTTCTCCATCATAACTATATACTTAATTAGTTTTTTTAATACCCAGGAACAGAGCCATTCAGTAGATTTTCAAAGAATTAATGTATTTTCACTATAGAATCAATAATGCCCCACCCTCAGACCAGAACCCCTGACCCAGGGGCCATAAAATTAACAATTTTGGAAGAGGCATTCTTCCCCATCATAACTATGTACTTACTTAGTTTATTTAATACTCAGGAGCAGAGAAGAATATTTTTAAAGAAATAATGTATTTTCACTATATACTCAATAGAGCCCCACCCTAGCACTAGATCCCCTCACCCTCGGGCCATAAATTTCACAATTTTTTTTAGAGGACTCAATGGACATTACATTCATGCTAACAGTTTGACTGCTTGATGTCCAGGAGTAAAGAAGAAGATTTTTAAAGACTGCATTAATTTTAGAGGTTTTGACCCCACCCCTCAAGCCCCAGGGGAGCAGGGACCTTGAAATTCAAAATTTTTGTTCCCCTTCACCTATAGATGCTGTATGCCAAATTTGGTTGAAATTGGTTGAGTGGTTGCAGAAAAGAAGCTATAAATGTTCAAAAGTTTACGACCGATTGACAATGAACGACGTACGACGACGGACGGAAACAGATAGCAATAGGTCACCTGAGTGACTCAAATGACCAAAAAATCCTTCTATGTCTATGGAGTAGAATTTAATAAAGTCTTCACAAATTATGATGATAACAATATAGCAATATTGCTTACATGTAGTATTAGTAATGCATTTATGTACTAATACATGTTCCTATTGCTCAACTAGCTGTTTTGTTATCTTAAATATCCGCTCTTCAGCCAGGAACGATACATGTAATTATTAAAATATTGTTTAATAATTTTTTTCCAATATTTTTAAAACGAACTCTAAATTGGAATCTTTTTGTGTAACAATTTCCTTATCAAGCATCTAAGAAATCGGCGCTCACATTTACATTCTCTAATTCTCTCTGTTCATATTTGCCAATTTCAAAAATCTTTTATTGAATGTTTTACCTTTTCTTAAACTACGTGCCCGATAGACAAACTCATTATATTTTACCTTGTCGGTTGACCATTTCTTCCATTTAAAGACGGCTTTACCAGAATCATTTCTCGTGATTTTAAACACTTGGGGGCAGGAGTGGTTTCTTGATCGAGTTAATGAAAGGGGTGCTCCATTCTGCGATGTTGAAAATTGATGACGTCCTCACACTGGTAGGGGCCGGGGTGTAACACTTCTTGAAGGCAGCCATCAACTTCGGGAGGGTCAAGGTGGCGTACTTCGATAACCAGTGACTGAATCTGAAATTCCAAAAGTGGATATTATCTTTAACCATTAATTTAAATCATTTCAACACGTATTATAATCATCGGTGAATTTTTGTACAACTGTTACCAGCTGTGTTCAAAGGATAAAAAATTTCCGAAGAATATAACGTTCGAGAAGGAAAGAAATATAGTACCTTGAGAAAACCTGGTCAACATCTTCATGAGTGTGGCCCACCATTAAAAACGAAATTTTGACCTTCCTAAAAATGCCACACTCTACAAGGTAGCACATAAATGCCAACAGGTATCTGGAAAATATAAATTTTCATTATTGACAATGATAACACTATTCAAAGTTTGCTACCCACGGGTAAACATGCAAAGACATTTAAGCTCTCACTATGTCTTACAGGAGCACAAGTACACTGAATGTATTAGTTTTATTTTCCCCATGTGAAAATTTATGGCCATGCACTCATTTATCCGGGTATTAATTGTTTGAGGGCCACTTGAAAAAAAAATGTGTTTCTACTGTTTTTAATACTGTTATTGAAATTTTTTCTCGGAGTTTTTAGAATTCACATGGAACAAGACTAGGGTGTGTACTTCACATACCTGTTTTTGTTTTCCCGTGCACAATTGTCCATCTGGAGGTACAACACGTCAGGGAGGGAGTCTTTTAGCATTAAGGAAGACTTGCAACAGTATATATATGGTTAAATTTGTGGAATGGCTGAATTCAAACAAATCAAAAAACCCGTGAATACCAATACCATGGACGATGACCCCGACCTGTGTGAAAGAAAAAGATTCATTTAATTTTTGTTTTAATTCAGTCGCAATTTAGAGATTTATTTCTATGACAAATAAGAATATCAATTAACACAGACTTACCAGACGTACACAAAGTTTCCACATAGCGCTCGTCAGCTTGCTAGCATGAACAAACTTTGGTAACTTTGTTTTGGCTTGGTCCATCCCATCAATGATAATGGAAAGGATGTGCTTTGGCCTTACTGATGTGTTTGTAGTTAATTTCTGTCTTTCCTGGCTGTATACAAACAAGTATGGATATGAAAGAGATGAACTTTTATTTTTAATGCAGATTCATTTTCTTGATTCTTTTTGGTACTGATTGGTGAAAAATTCATTTTCATCTTCATTTACTTTTGTTTCTTTAAATGAACATCTCTTCTTGTCTTTAAAAGCTTCCTTTCTTCATTATTTCTTGTCTGTCCTAGTTTTATTTTGATATACATGCAAGTGTCGCAATTGGAAAATCTTTATTTCTATAAAAGATGAATAAAAAAATATTTTAAAATAATACTAGTAAACACACTTACTCACCCATCCTCACCCACCAAACCCCACACACTGGTATCCATTTTGAGACACCCTCGTCCATTGGAGGAGGGGGGGGGGTCAGGGGTTCAAACCGCCCTTCATTTTTGTACACAGAGAGAGAGAAAGAAAGAGAGATTTCTGTAATAAAGATTTTTAAGTCTAATAATTTGAATAAATGAAAAATCTTGCCAGATCAGTAGATTTTCATGTATTTGCTTTCCTACGTGTACCTTCTCAACCCCGGCTAAGGGCTCCGACCACTCACAAGTAACATGCAAAAAAAAATTCTGGCGAACTTTAGCTATACCATTTTTGTACCATCGTCAAAACACTCAAAAGTAATAACTTTTAGATGTATGCATAAAATATTTTTAATCAATGAAGAGAAAGGTTTAAAAGGTCCCCGTATTATGCAGATGGAGGGTTCATTTTATTCTGAGAATAATCTTTTGCTGTAGTTTTAATTAATATTTTGATTTGGAAGCTCCCTCCACAGTTTTTGTTGCAGGAAAATACGCAGATTCAAACATTAATTGAATTATATAATGCACCGCGCAAACAGAAAATTACAGGAAGCCCCCCCTAACCCCCAAAAACGATTTTTGAGTGTGGTGCAAAGGTTTCTTTTTTTAATTAATTTTTTTTTTTGCTTTTTGGTTGTCAGCTGATTTTGGAGACCCCAATTCTTATTATAGATGTAGCTATGGACTTGAAGTTGCTATGATATGATTTTATGCATGAGTGCTGTGGCACATTATATCTCTATAGATTTATACATTTGCAAATGTTTTCCTTCATATAACACTAATGAAAGCAATGCGTATCTTTAACTGTAACAAGAGGCCCATGGGCCTTATAGGTCACCTGAGCATTATTCAACAACTTTCCAGTGATTGAATTTGATCCATGTTTTAAGCCAGATGCTATAGCATTTACAATTTGGCCATCATAACTATACACTTAGCAGTTCCTTAGTTTGGTTTCTTTATACCCATAGGCATGGTGGGGGAACAAAAAATGCATTTCAACTAATCAGTAATATTCAGCAATAATCAGTAGTGTCGCTACCACACATGAACCCTTGACTCTTAAGCCTAGATCCTCACATTGCACTATTTTTGGAAAGGCATCCTTACTTTTCAAAAATATTTGATTAATACCAAGGAACACATTTCAAACAATTCATTCATTTTCAGTATATAAGTACAGCCAACCCCCCCCCCCCCTCTATGGTACAACTGACCCTGGGGCCTTGAAATTTACAATTCTTGAAGATTAGGGATTACTCATAACTATATAGGTAGTTCATCTGCTTAAAACCTAGGACCAAAGAAGAAAATATTCAAAGATTTAATGTTTTTTCACTTCACATGTATAATCAATACAGCCCCGCCCTAACACCAGAATCCTTGATCCTGGGGTCATAAAATTCACAATTTTGGTAGAGGCACTCTTGTTCATCATAACTATGTACTTAGTTAGTTTATATAAAACCTAGGAGCAGAGAAGAAGATTTTCAAAGAATTCATGTATTTTCACTATATAATCAATAGAGCCCGCCCTAAAACCAGAACCCCTAACCCTGGGGCCATAAAATTCACAATTTTGGTAGAAGCACTCTTGCTCATCATAACTATGTACTTAGTTAGTTTATTTAATACCCAGGAGTAAAGAAGAAGATTTTCAAAGAATTCATGTATTTTCACTATATAATCAATAGAGACCCGCCCTGACACCAGAACCCCTGACCCTGGGGCCATAAAATTCACAATTTTGGTAGAGGCACTCTTGCTCATCATTATTATGTACTTAGCTAGTTTATTTAATACCCAGGAGCAGAGAAGAAGATTTTAAAAGAATTCATGTATTTTCTCTGTATAATCAATAGAGCCCCGCCCTAACACCAGAACCCCTGACCCTGGGGCCATAAAATTCACAAATTTGTTAGAGGCACTCTTGCTCATCATAACTATGTACTTAGTTAATTTATCTAATATTCATGAGCAGAGAAGAAGATTTTCAAAGAAATAATGCATTTTCACTATATACTTATTTAGCCCCGCCCTAGCACAAGAACCCCTGACCCCAGGGCCATGAATTTCACAATTTTGGTAAAGGACTCAATGCTGATTACAATCATGCAAACAGTTTGACTGCTTGATGTCCAGGAGTAAAGAAGAAGATTTTTAAAGATTGCATTAATTTTAGTGGTTTTGGCCCCACCCCCCAGGCCCCAGGGGGGCAGGGATCATGAAATTCACAATTTTTGTTCCCCTTCACCCATAGATGCTTTGTGCTAAATTTGGTTGAAATTGGTTCAGTGGTTGCAGAGAAGAAGCTGAAAATGTTCAAAAGTTTACGACCGATTGACGACGAACGACGTACGACGAACGACGTACGACGGATGACGACGGACAAAAACAGATAGCAATAGGTCACCTGAGTGACTCAGGTGACCTAAAAATACAGGTACGGGGTCAAAAGGTCATAGATGTGCGCATGGATAAACGATCGACGTCATTTCTCAGTGACGTCATAAAGGATCTATGCACGTTCAGTGGATTACATACATGCCGTTGCTTTTGAAAAATAATGCATTTCACGCATTAAAAGTTACAATCAGGCAAATGTAAAGTATGATTAAGTCACAAATTAATGTAACCTGTATCATTTTAAAACATCTATCGGGCTATAAATATGGGTTCGTACGAGATTAAATTCATCATAAAGCCCTTCAGGCTTTATGGAATTTAATCTCATGACCAACCCATATTTATATCCCGATAGATGTTTTAAAATGATACCTTATTTCTTAAGTAAAACTTTGATCGTCCCTCGTGGCCCCACTCTACCCCCAGGGGTCAAGATTTTAACAAACTTGAATCTACACTGCCTAAGGATGCTTCCCCATGAGTTTTATTTTTCTGGGCACAGATTTTTAAATCATGCCACCAAATCTTCATTAATTCTCAATTATCTCCCCTTAAATTGGGGCGTGGCCTCTTCATTTGAACAAACTTGAATCCCCTTCCCCGATGAATGCTTTGTGGCAAGTTTGATTGAAATTGACCAAGCGGTTTTGGAGAAGAAGTCAAAGTTATGAAAAGTTTATGCAAGTTTTTACAAATCGCTAAATTTGCGTCCCGATCAAATTTCCACTTATACGGTATTTACTACAGCTAGACGGAAGACGGACAAATTGTGATCAGAAAAGCTCTTCTTCAAATATATTTTTTGTATCTATTGGTATTATATATAAAACAAGATGTGTTTCTGAAACACTATGCGCCCGGCGGCAACAAAGTTACAAAAACTGTTTTTAATAGCATTTAGGTCAGTCAAGGTCACATGGTCATTGATCTTAATGTTATATGAAAGAAATTTATTAGCGGAGTATGCATACCAAATATGAAGTCTATATCTCCTATGGTTCAAAAGTCATGGCGAAAGTTCGAAAATGCCTATTTTTAGCATTAAAGGTCACAGCAAGGTCACAAGGTCATTGACCTTGGTGTCTTTTGAAAGAACTTTATTAGTGGAGTAGTCCATCTGTCTGTTTATCCGCAAAAACTTTAACCTTTCCCATAACTTTTGATTTAGTGGAGCCAGGACTTTTATATTGATTATTCCTTGTGGCAAGACCTTTCTTTGGGTACCACCAAATTTGACCTTTTGACCTTGGAGTTTGACCCACTTTTACATGAACATTTTAATCTTTTAGTTTGGCCATATCATTTGAACAGTAGGTACCAGGACATTTGTTGTTCACATATATGTACATGTATTATTTGTTGCAAGACCTTTCATTGTATACCAACAACCTTGACCTTGTAGATTTTTGTACCTGTGAAATAACTTTAACTTTGGCCATAACTTTTGAATGGTAATCATTTCCAGCTGAACGGTTACCTAAAAGACAACCGATGGACAGAGAAAAACGCAGGAAACATGTACTGTACAACAGAGAGAACAAAAATTCCATCCCTATTAAAAACATGGTGTACTCTGAAATAGACATTGTTCTATATTGAATCTCAATTTTGATTCCTTTTACTTCATTTGTGCAAATCTATGAATTATATTCTTTTGTTTATTGCCCGGATTAGTAAACCAATTTACTATGAAAGTTATCTATTTCATTTTCTCTCGACATGTCAGAAAGGACTCTTGGCTGCTTTAATCTGATTGGTGCAATATCGCCCATAACTCCTCCTACATTCTGAAGGATACATGTATATCTGTTGTCATTCATTATTTTGTACACATTCACTTGCAGAATGGCTCGTCGTTTCAATCGAAACGCCAAATCTAAATCTAAGAAAAACAGAGCTATGAATTTTAAAGCTCGAAAAATTAGAGAACAAAAGAATAAAGTGCTAATAGCACGAGATCATGTGTTTAATCTCACACCTGACAAATTGTCAGATGATGAGTATTTACTTT